TGCCGAACGAGGTCTTTCCCCCCCGTCCCAGCCGACACCGGCTCCCGAATACATCATAATTTGGAATAAAATGTGAAATCCCGCTCCCGCCCCATTTCGCCGCCCCCACGCGCGCCTCGGTCTCCCGCTCGCCCTCCCCCCACTCCCGCCCCCGGCGATGTGCAAATGCATCTCTAAAGGGGACCGGCACACAACTCCGCGCAGACCGGACCACCCGCGGTCCAGCCCCGCAGAAGGAAGCGAATAAACGCAACCCAACCGTGGGTTGCACGCCGACAGGATCAGACCGGCACGCAGTCCAACAGGACACAACGAAATCAGTCTAAGCAGTCGCTCTCGGACACACACCCCAACACAGTCAGGGGCACGCACACACAACCGGACAACGGCACCACCCAGGCACAACCGCGAAGGCCGCACGAGCCTCCAGCAGGACCGGACCCCTGCTGAGAAAGCAAACGAACATTGTCGTAGACAACGAAGAAAGTGCAGAAGAGCCTCGAAGGGTCTAAACGGCGCAGACGCCGCCGCGCTCGGACACACAACCGATCCCCAAGACCACGGTCGGAGGCAGCCGACCCTGCCCGCAGCTCACGCACACGCACTCACAACCCCACCGCATGCACACAACCACGAAGAAGAAATGAAAACCAACCACTGCCTCGCGCATTGCTGTATATTGCGTAAGGAAAAAGGGGAAGGAAGGAAGAGAGTCTCCGAGGCGGGAGGGGCGGCGGCGGCGAGGGCGGGGGCATTGGTAGAAAATGCCCCCCAGCGAAAGAAATCCAGGGAAACGGGGCGAAGACGTCTTCTGCGGGTGTAGGGGGAAAGGGAGGGGATTGATGAGGAATTCCGTGGGAGGCCGCAGGTTGCTTTTCCCCTAGAAAAAGGCCGGAATGCTCACGTTTTTTCCGCTATGGGGGTACGCGTGTGGCCATTTTGAGGCCGGGTCCCGGGTGCCAGGACCGCCCGCCGCCCCCGCCCGCGCAGCTCCGGCTCCTGCGCGGCGCTCTAATCCCGCTCACGTTCTGGGCCTCGTTAGCATGGGCCGAGGCGCGCCGGGGCCGTGTGCGCCGCAGAGATAAGGCACTGCCGCGGGTCCGCCCGCCCCCGATAAGCGCCTCGGCCATTATGGGCCAAATGATTCATTTTAATTTGGCAATTTCACCGGAGGGAGTGGGGTCTGGTTACTCGGCGCGGGGACCGGCCTCAAAATGGGCCGCGGAGAGAGTTGAGCGCTCTGTCTAGGACCCAGCGGCTCCAGCCCCGTTTCAGATCCGTCCTGAGACCTCCCGGGAATCCCGTTCCCCACAAACCTGAATCCCTGGGCCTTCCTGGCACCTTTCTTCAGTGCCTTTCAACCCAACACTCCATTCCTGCCTCTGAAGACCACCGTGACACCAAACCGTCACCTTTCAACCCTTCTCTCACACTCATCCTTTCTCCAGAGTCCTGGACAGCCAGATCTCACCGGGCAGTTCCCCAGAAGACAGAAAACTCTCAACTCCTCCCTGACCCTCCACCTCCTTTGACCCGTTTTACTCTCAAATAGGACCCTATAGCTCAAAACCAAGGGACTCTAAAAAGATGAGCTGATGTCAACAGAAAGATGAAAAGGTCAATTCTGCTCGGTTTACTGCCAGCCCAGAAACACCATTCCCCACCACCATAACGATTTGAAACAAGCGTTTTTAATCTGCTATTGCTCTAAGCACTCTACAGATCCTAACTCATTCAATCTTTGTAAACAATCCTAAATTGGTGCTATTATTTCCTCCATCTACAGATAAGGAAACCGAGGCAGAGAGAATAAAAGTAACTTCCGCAGTGTTCCATTCTTAGTGTCAAGCCAGATCTGAAGGAAATTTGGCTCGAGAGCTTCTGTGGAGCTAAAAGAAAATGTCCAGACCTTCTTCCTGCCCCAGCAAGAGGGGCAGCCAGAGCCTACCCTGGGATGAGGGGTCTGGGTTCAGTTCTGCAGGGATCATGATTCGTACTGTGGGAATCTGAATTCATTGCCAGCTAGTTGACTGAGTTCAACCCATGCAGGGTATCTGGTTTTGTTCATATATTTTTAAAGTTTATTCCTTTATCCTCTATGAGAGGACGGGAGAGAGGCATCGTAATGGAGTCTTCACCCCCAGCTCTCCCAATCCACCCCCTGCCTCAGCCAGCTACCATCACAGGCGTGTGCCCAGTTCGTACAGAGAGACTTGGGATTCAAACCCAACACCTTTCCATGTGACTACATTACTGATGTGCCTCTGCAGCTGGCCTTGGTTCTTTCCTCCATGGGTGGAGTGGAAAGAACACAAACTCAGGTTTTATCACATCTGCAAAGTGGAAAGATACTACCTACCTTGGAAAACTATGAGGATTGAATAACATGATCTTTAGCAGGCAGTGGTTAGGGTACTAATGTATGCAATGTCACCCGGCCCATGGCCCAGGACAACATGCACTTGCAGGGGACCCTGTGGCCATGATAGAAAAGGAAATCAAGGCACAGAGAGATACGACATGGCCAAAATTGAGCAACCTGGAGGAACTCTGGTGTTCAGTCCTAGTCCACAACCCTACCCGCTATGCCAGGCTGCATTGTCCTTCTAGTATCTCTTGTTTTGAGCTTTTTCCAGAGCCTGAGAACTGGGGAGGGGGGGGACCATCATCTGGTCACCGACTGAGTTCCATCCAGGACTGAACCCAGAATATGGCCCCTCCCTCCAAAGTCGCTGGGATGACTCTGAGAAGATACAATGAATCCAACACAGCCTGTCCTCTCCCTGGTGTGCTCTCTGAGGGAAGTCAGGCTGTTATGTGGATACAGGTCACTTTCAGACTCCCATGGTAGAACAGCCACCACTGTCCTAAGGAAAAAAAAAAATCCAATTGCCCCATGCCACAGGGCCATCGCCTTTGATCAGCTGCATCACCTAATAGAGCGAGAATCATGTTTGCCGGGGACCAGCCTCGGCGGGGGACGGGGATGGGTTGACTCGTCCCCACTGGGTCGGACTCCTCCACATGTTTTCTGAGTTTGGAACCCAGGTCTGCCACCTAGGGCGGGGAGAGTCAGTTTAGGTCTTCAACCTCTGCAAAAAGGGCTAGCCACTTCCATACTGGAGAGCCCAGCTGGGAACTGCTTCCCTGAGAAAATGAGGGTGAGACGGTTATCTAAGAGGGAGAAGAAGAGTATCTAGAACCTTCCAGATGGGCAGAGGAACCTTCTGGAGCCAAGGGCTAAGCAGAAGGGTCATAGGATCCAAAAGGAACAGAGACTCCCATTTGTCTGGAGCAAGCCTGTGGACCTTTAGAGGGTTTCAGAACCATTCCGGTTGTTTGACCTGAGGGTGGGCATTGTGTCCTATGCAGGATCAGATTGCATTTCTTCTGGCTTTTTGGGGCCCTGTGGAGTAGAGGTATGTGGGGGTGGGAAGGCAGTGGGGACCACCCCCATGGCCAGTGCAGTGGTCTAAGAGTTCAGATTTGGTCTACTGAGCCGGCAGAAGAGATGGTGGATGAAGATGGCATGCATTCAGGGTATAGAACTGGGTTGTGAGGACTGGCTTTGGGAAGGGAACAGGTTTCCAGTTCTTCTGTCTAGCTAGTTGGAGTTATTCTTAGAGTTGGAGGCCATCGGGAGGGATTATGCATTTGGTTTTTAACCCTTCGACTTCAGATGCCTTCGAGGCACCTGCAGACTGTTTGGGTATTTTACAAGGCATTCATTGACCAAGGTCGCTGGTGAAGGAACACGCAGGAAAGGCTGCGTCAACCAACCGCAGAGGTGTGCCCAGGCAGCAGCGTGCGGGCAGGGAGGTGACGGACGTGCTTCACCCCCTCTTCCACACCAAGGCTCCTCGGCTGCTCCAGGTTCTGAACATCTGGCGGCAGCCCTGACCTCGTCCCCCAAACCCGCGTCTGGGGTTAGGGGCTCGTGACGTCTACACCCTCCCGCTCTCCTGTTTCCGACAGTGGAAAAACGGAAACTGCGCGCTAAGCGGGGCCGCCCGAAATAGCATCTGGTGCCTGTCGGTCATCTAGCTGTCCGAGCGTCCCCGAGCCAGTGACTCGGCCCCCGCCGGGCCAGGAAATGCCACCCCTCCTCCAGCCGCCCAGCGCGCGCCGGCCCCGGGCGGGCAGGAAACCCGGAGCGCCGCGGTGGGGGCGGCGAGGCGGGAGAGGAGGCTGGAGGCCCGCTGTGGGCCAGCAAGAGTCGGGGAGCAAAAGGACCGGTCCCCTAGGATGTGGGCCCGAGGCTGTCGTCGCCGCTCTCCGACCAGTGCTCCAACCACGACCACCAAAGGTTGGGTTCCCCGTAAACCGCAAAGCCGAGGCTGTAAAAAACTGTTCAAGTGTGTCGGCCTAACCTGTCTCAGGACCACCTCCGGGCTTTCTCCGCTCGTAGTCTCAATGAGGCGGTGCGCGCTCTGCTGTGCAACCGGCTGGTTTTCAACATTTAAATTGCGGTTACTGTATGCCAGGGACTGTGCTAGGCACTTCGTAAATATTCATTCAGTTCATCCTTACAGCCACCCAGTGAGGTATATTACCTCTAATTTGAGAAGCTCACTAGTCTTTCCATTTTTGTCCTCGCCCCTTGCCTCAAACCTGGATCCGGGACTTTAACTCCAAGTCGGCCATAAGAAATCCAGCCCTCCTGGCCTCCACGCCACAGGCCGGCATGCGCTGTGCTTTCTAATGATTCTAAGCCATTTCCCTTTCCTAACCCACGTTTCTTCTGGAAGCAGAGAGGACAAAAACTGCTTCTCAAACCTGTGCAGGGACAGTGCCCAAGCTCGTCTGTCCTCAGCAGCAGAGAACCCTGCCTGCTCCACTATCAGTGATTTTGCTCCCAGAATTGTTAAACAAACAAACAAACAAACAAAAAAACACATATGTTCCCAACCACATATGTTCCCAACCAGCTCTCTGGCTAGCAAATACAAGAGCCCTTCACAAAGGCTATAGGAGGGGACCAGCAGGTGGTGTGGTAGTTAAGGTGCTAGACATTCCCATATGGCCAACCATGGTTCAAGTCCTGGACCTGGTGGCTTGCTTTCTCACTCTCTTTCTCTGTGTGTGTGTGACTCTCTGGTCAAAATGAAATGAGTAAATAAAATTAAAAATATTTTTAAAAAGGTCATAGGAAAATGAGATTAAAGTATGAGTTTATTTTAATGCAAACACTTTGAAATCCATGCAAAGATTTTCCATAATATGCATTTTCATGATCTTTTCAAAGATGCCTTGTAGTTGCTGATGGTCGTAGAGATGGGGCCTTGGCCTTTGTGTACACGTAAGTACATGTACACTGTGTGCACTGAGCACCTGCGGGGTGTGCCTGCAGTGCTCCATGCTTCTACCTCTGTCTTGTGATCCTCCATGACAACTCTGCGGAGCTGCTAGTGGGATCTTACTGTAGAGATGAGGGCACAGGCTCATCCAATCCACCCAGAGTCACTTATCAACAAGTGTATACCCAGGTGGCGTGGTGGTTAAGACACTGGAGTCCCACTTGGTCGACCGTGGTTCAAATCATGGACCTGGAGTCTTGCTCTCTCACTTTCTCTCTCTCAATCTCTGTCTCTTTCTGGTGAGCACATGTGCCTTATGGCAAAATTTAAAAATAATACTAAAAAATAATTATTTTTTAAAATATTAAGTGTATGTCCAAATTATCTTGGCTGCAATGTGGTCTCCATTCCTTTTTTATAATGCATCATTTTGTTTTTTTGGGGAGAACTACTTCAAAATCTTGAACACTGGATAGCATTGTGCTATGTCCTGGTTTAGATCCTTTGCAATATTAAAGAAGACAAATAGCCAAACAGGTCATGAAAAACTGTCCAAATTTGCATTAGGAAAATGCAAATTATAGCCACTCTAACTGCTGGCTCAGTGGTACAGTGGTAATTCCCTGTTGGAGCAAGGCTGGAACCATATGGAAGAGTGTGGGTTTGGTTCCCCAATTGGCCTGCATATGCCAAGGTCCTGGTGGTTGGCTGGGAGGGCTGGGAAGGATACTACAAAAACTGTATCCCTGTGGAAGGTATGTGTCTTTCTCACTCCCTCTAT